GGCCCCCACGGCGGCGCCTCCGGCGCCGCCCCCTGGCGCGCTCCGCGCGCCAGGGAGGGGGGTGCAGCGCGGATCCAAGAAATCCGCGCGGACCTTCAAAGTTTCTGTTTATGGCGCTTTTCTTCTTCTAAGCAGCTCCCCGGGCCTTTCCCAGCCTCCCCGCCCCGCGGTGCGGAGCGGCACGCCGCCCGCCCGCAGGGCACACTGTGTCGCTGGGGGCCGCCGTGGCGATGCGCGAAGCAGAAGTTCCCGGCCGTACATGTTCGGGCGGGGCGTCCGAGACGCCCTCCAGAGCCGCCGGACCTTAGAGATGTTCGATTTCTCCTCACCCGGTGTGATCATCGTCCTGGGTTCTTCTCAAGCACGGGGCCACAAAGCCCTGGTGGGTCACTGGGCCACCACGGGGTCACACCAGCCCCGTTGGGCTCCCGAGGGCTCCCGAGAGCGTCCACGCAGCATGCCCGCCAACATGGGTATGTGTGTGTGTGTGTGTGTGTCTGTGTGTATGTGTGTGTGTGAGTGTGTGACTGCCGCATGTCGGCAACGCTGCAGCATGGACCCATGACGGCCCAAGGGGACCCCAAGAAGGCCCAAAAGGCAGCCAAGAGAGCCCAGCATGGCCCCGACCCCAGTGAAAGCGGGAGGGGCAGCACACGGGCCCCGGCGCCAGAAGGGGGGACAGGACGGCTCAGGGCTCCAAGAGGTGACGTCCAGAGGGCCCCATAGAGTTGTAAGACAGCTTGGGATGGCTCCAGGAGCAGCCTAGAACGGCCCATGAGGGCCTCGAGCGCCACAAAGACAGCCCAACAGGGCTTCCAGGAGCCCCAAGGAGGCCCAAAAAGCAGCCAAGACAGCCTAGCATGGGCCCGATTGCTGCCCAACCACGGCCAAGATGGTCCCCCAAGCGCCCAAGATTGTCCAACAGGGTTTTTGAGGGAGGCCGAACGCGACTCCAGGGTGGCGGGAGGGGCGGGGGCAGGTGCACGCTATGCGGCCATGTCCGCACCAACGGCCTGGCGAATAGGGGGGGGCGCTCTTGCGTCTTGCGCGGATGCCCCGCGCGGAACGCATCCGTGCGACCGCGAGTCTGTCCGCATGGGTCGCGCCCCGGAATCCAGGCCGCGAGGGCGTGGGCGATGGATGCGTCCGCCGCTCGCGAGGCGAGTCGCGGTCTTTGCCCTGGCGCGCCGGGCTGCGCGGACGGCTGGGGACCGCCCTCGGCCGCTGGCGCTGGGCGCCCGCGCGCTCCGGGAGGGGCCGGGGCGGCAGGACGAGCTCGGGGCGGAGGAGATGGGGCGATCAGGGGCAACGTCACGGTCGAGCACGGGATTTCGCAGGCGATGTTCGTCTCCCCAGTCCCCGACCTTCGTCGACGAGAAGTGGAACCGCTCAGAAAGGGAGGGAAACAGTGGAATACACCTTGAGTGGGCGATTCGGACGCACCCCTATCGAGGATGGACGCCCCCCCATCGTATATCTCAGGATTTTTCTCCCCCACCCCGACTTTTCGACGAAAAGTAAAGCCGCTCAAGAAAGAAGGGAGACCCTGGGATACACCCCAAGTGGGCTATTCGGACGCACCTCTATCGAGGATCGACGCCCCTCATCGTACATCCCAAGGTTGGGCCCAAAATTCTGGCCCATTCGAAAGCCCCACGAAGCCTGGGAAATTGGGCCAGCATTTCTTGGCCAACTGGTCAGGCAGCTGGCACAGTTTCTTGAGCACGTTGGCCCTCCAGCCATAACACCAGAACCTGGCCCAGGCATGTCGTAAGAAACTTCCGTGAAGCTGGCCTCATATGCCTTCAACGAATGGTTTCTTGATCACATGTCCAGTTGTAGTCCGGGATGATCGGGTCACCGCGGGGGTCGCTAAGGGGACAGGGGGGGTACGAGTGGATGCGGATGTGGCTCATGTACGGCCTGGCATTAGCTTGTCAGTGAGTGGGCTCGGAATTCCCTAATTGGCTTGGGGGGTACAGGTCCAGGCTGAGCTGGCTCCGTCCACTCAGCGGAGTTATCGAATACACCCAAGTCGCTTAACGTGCAGCCCCTTGATAAGCTCGGTTAGGCCAGAGATGACCCATCTCAGGCTTCATTTATAACGCTCTATCCACTAAGCACCCCCCCCCCCCTGGTGGTTTCGTGTTGGGCTCGATGCTCGAGGTTCTAAGTTTTCGGGAAGATTTGGGGCGTTGTCCCCGGATCTCTGCGGTTCTTCAGCCCCGCGATGCTCTCCAGCAGCTGCGCCTCGCCGAGGGCGTTCCCGGGGTGTTGCGGTTGTCCCGGACGGCCGCTGGAGAGCCGAGCTCTGGCCCGAAAGCAGCGTCAAGTGGTGATGGGCTCCAGGAGGGCCGCATCGACCCCCAATCGCTTATCGTGGATCCAGGACCTTGCGGTTTCGCTACCAGGGGCTTATCGTGGATCCATGCATTGTCGACTCCAGCTCGACGTTTTCACCCTCCGAGCCTGTACAGCGTGACGTTGTACAGCGTGGTGCGGTTCCAGGGCTTGCAACTTTATAGCGTAATATGTTACACACGTGTTTATGTTGGTTGTTGCGAATGTCCCAGTGTGCAGTATGCTTTGATACGTGCGCAAAGAGTTTCGTATGTGTGTTCTATGTGCACATAAAATGTCATACACGTGTATTTCATGTACGTTCGTGGGCCATTTATTGCATGTGCGCTCGTTCGTTCGCATAGGATTATTGTTGATGCTGGTTCTTGATGTCTGTTGCTTGTCCCCTGGTGTCCCTGGTGAAAGTTCCTGGTGCCTGGTCTGGTGTATGCTCTTGATGCTTACTATCGATGCCTGTTCTCGAGGTCCGTGCTTGATGCCTCGGCTGGATGTGCTTGATGCCAGCCCTTGAACATGTTTTTGATGCTGGCGATGCTACGCATATTATGTGGCTTATGTGGCAAGTCAGCAGTGCCTTGTCCTGGTTTATGATGTTAGTGTCCACTCTTGGTGCCTCTTCTTGATGCAGGTAGCTGGTGTACGGTGCTCCATCGCTTGGCTCACTCTGCCGGCCCATGTTGTGACATCGTTGGCACTTGCCTGCGTGCTCGCGAGGGCATTTGTGGTGCCTCGTGGGGCCTCTTTGGGACCTCTTGGGGCCTCTTGGGCCAGTCTTCGGAGCCTCTGGGGGCCTCCTGGGGGCTTTGACAATCTCGGAGACCATCCTTGGGGGAAGGGCCAGACATGGGAATTCTGATTCTCCCTCTTGGGAGCCTATGGAGCTCTCTTGGGGGGCCTTTTGGGCCTTTTGGGCCGTGTTGGGACCTTCTTGGGCCTTGGGCTGTCTTGGGCCGATCTTGGCAGTCGGAAGCTCGGAAAGGCGGTGCCGTCAAAATCTGCCAAACTCCCTAGGGAAGTCAACGACGTTGAGCCTCCGGGGGATCTTGGGGCTGGCTGGGGCCATCTTCGGGCCGTCCTGAGCCACTCTGGGGACTGTCTCTTCGGGCCTTCTTGGGGCGTCCCTCGCGGGCCCCCAGACAGGGTGGTGACCACACCGTGTGGTGTTGTCGTTGGGGACTCGGGGTCACCGCACGGTTTTGGGACTCGGGTCGCTCTCCGAGGACGTCTCTCGGGCGCCTGGCGCTGACGGACCGTGCGGTGAGGTCTTGGGAGCTGTCGAGGTCACCGCACGGTCTGTCACTGCACCGTCTCGGGACTCCGACAGAGCAAGAGAGAGAGAGAGAGAGAGAGAGAAAGAGAGAGAGAGAGAGAGAGAGAAAAGAGAGAGAGAAAAGAGAGAGAGAGAGAGATCCCGCCCATCCTCGCGGCTCTCTCGGGGCCCGAAATGGAGCTCCCTTAAGGGGCCCCGCGCGCTCCTGTGGGGCCACCCCTGGGGGCCTGGGAGGCCGCCCCCCCTGGGAGCTCCGGCATCCGTGGCCGGGGCAGGCCGAGGTACTTCTCGTCCAGGGCCCCCACAAGGGCCGTCGGGGGTGGACAGAACCCCCAACAGTGACACGTCGATTAGTGAATTGTCCGTTTTCAGTTCTCGAGAGGGCGCCGTGGCCGCTATTTTCCAGGCTTGCGCCCGCCAGGTTTGGGTCTCAGGTCGTTTTCACTAAACCACGTTTTACTAAAGGGGGGTCTGTCCATCCCCGAGGCCGCCCCGCGCGCGCGAGGGCTCAGCAACGTATTCCAATTCCTCATTAATTGACCCCCCCCTCCAAATGCGACCTGATATTCCGGACCCCCCGCTTCGACGGGGCGCCTGAACAAACCGGACCCCAGAGTCCAATCCAAAGAGAGCGCCCTAATGTAGCGGCCCCCGCAATGACAAAAAAGGAGCCTTCAAAACCAGACTCGGGAGACGATTAATGAGGGATTGAGAGTATTCGTTGCGGAGGTCCCAGCACGCCTGGGACCCGCTGGGCGGGTGAATTGATGATTTAGGGGCCTGTCTTTGGCGCTGGGAAGTCATGCACGTGATTGACGTCTGTGTTTGGCATCTGCTCTGATTGCAGATTACTGGTATGTGGACTGCACGTTCTTGGTAGATGCCACTGACGCACGTTCTAGCTGTATGGTCTTGGTGTATTTTATCTCTGCCTGTTCGTGCGGTATCTTATTGGTGTACTTGTTGTTCACGATCTGCGTTCTCGGTGTATATTGTTGTGCCAGTTGCGATGTTTCTTTTGCTGCTTATTTTATTGTGGGCGAGATGTGGGGAGGAACGGAGAAGGACACGGAGGAGGAACGGAGGAGGAGGAGGAGGAGGAGGAGGAGGAGGAGGAGGAGGAGGAGGAGGAGGAGGAGGAGTGGGAGGAGGAGGAGAGGGGCAAACAAGGAGTCGGACAGGATAGGAAAGGCAGGCAGGGAGGGAGAGAGGGACAGATGGAGGGAGCGAGGGAGGGAGAGAGGAAACACCAGGGGGCTTCGGACCACTTGCGCTCGAAAGACCGGGCGTGCGGAGTCCTGCCCTGCATATTCGGCCGTACTTCCGTTTATCCGTACTTCTGCACACCTTAACGCAGAATTCATAGTTCATGCGCGGCCACCGCGCCGCGAAGCGCGGGCTGCTGTTGGTCCCCTCGCTCTGCAGCATATCATGCGGCCTCGCCAGGGGTGACTGCTATGACGACGATCTGGTGAGCATGCTTCAGATACGCGTGGAGGGCGACCTCACGCCAATCCGAGCGCAGCAGGAGCAGAACAAGACCTACTCCGCCCTCGGCAGGGTGCTGGGCCAGGACTCGGCGGCGCGCCAATGGGGGAAGTGCGACGGGGGCAGGCCTCAAGGCGGCGGGGCTCCTCAGAAGCCCTCCATGATGGGCCTGTATTCCACCACCACCACCACCACAATACATTGGAGGGGGAATGGGGTCCTCCTTCTCCTCCACCTCCACCTCCTCCTCCTCCTCCTCCTCCTCCTCGTCCTCCTCCTCCTCCTCCACCTCGTCCTCCACCTCCTTCCCCCCTCCAACTTGTAGTGGTGGTGGTGGAAAACAGGTCCATCACTCCAGCCTTTCGAGCAGGCCCCCCGTGTCTCCGGCGAGGGCCCAGGAAGCTTCTGAGGAAGGCCGGAGGCCCTCTCTGAGACTTCCGAGGCAGCCCGCCCCCTCTGCGCTCCCCCGCTGCGGCGCGCCGCCAGAGGACAGCGGCATGTCGCACTCGTTCCACATCCTGAAGTACCTGGTCTCGTCCGGGCGCGCCCCGGAGCTCGGCAGGCGCGGAGGGAGCTTGAGCACCGCAGCTCCTCCTTCCTCTTCCTCCTCCTCCTCCATCCTCCTCCTCCTCCTCCTCCTCCATCCTCCTCCTCCATCCTTCTTCCTCCTCCCAATCGCACCCCAAAGTGGGTCGGTAGGGCGGGCCAGGCGTTTCGCGTGAGACTTCTTCGCCATTGATGGTCCTGAAGCTTGACACTTGCAGCAGCTTCACGGATCGGGGGCAGCTCGTTTTCAAAACGCGATTCTCGCCTTAGCGCCGCACGCATTCATCTTAGAAGTTCGCAAGAGCTTCACGGATGGAGGGCGGGTCGTTTTCGAAATGTGGTGTTCGCCTTAGCGCCGCGTGTACTAGTCTTAAACATTCGCAAGAGCTTCATTGAGGGAAGGCGGGCCCCATTTCAAAATCGGGTTCTCGCTACAGTCCCGCGCACAGTATTGCTTAAGATGTGCAAGAGCTTCACAGATGGAGGGCGGGCCGTTTCCAAAATCTAGCCCTCGCCTTAGCGCCGCGCATCTTCGTTTTCCGTTCAAACAAAACAACGCAAGAGCTTCATTGATGGAGGGCGGGGCGCTTTCAAAATCTGGTTCTCGTCTTGTCGCCGCGCACATACGTTTTGAAGTTTGGAAGAGCTCTACGGATGGAGGGCGGTTCCTTATCAAAATGGCGCCGCGCATATCCGTCTCAATTATTTGCAGTAGTTGCAAGGTTTCACATGGTTGACGTCGCAGAAGTTGTGTTTTGGCATGAATTCGGATTACCAGGACGCGTCACTCACAGTGATTCGCGGTGCTGGCGTCCCAGAAGCGGTGGACTGGCACGATTTAGGGTCGTCAGGTCGCAGCATTCACGTTCATTCGCGGCGTTGAAGTCCCAGGTATGGTGCTCTGGCACGGTTGAAGATTTTCGAACGGTAGTCTTCCAATTGTGCTTTCCCCGCAGTGGAGGTATAGATCCTTATAGGAGTCTATGAGGACCTCCGCCTCCTCCTTCCTCCTCCCTCCTCCCTCTTCTGGATCGTTCACGGGGGTCGCATTGCGCGCCTTCGCCTTTCTTCGCCGAATCCACGCACGATCGGCGCCCCTTGATTGGACTCAGATCCAGCGTTGGTTTCGAGACCAGAGCCGACGAGAAATTACATATGTGGTTGTTTACCAGGCTGGCTGGGGTTCCCACCGCTGTGAGGGACAACAAATGTAAAACAATATTCCGCGCGAGTGAGGCACCACTGGAATTCCTAAGCCAGATCTTGCACGCTCGTACTGTCCATGGGAACCATACTCATTACAATTCGAATGAGCTGGACAGCGGTAGAAGCTCATCTAGCGCCTCAGCCTCGCCTTTGGCGGGGTCAGGGTGCATCTCTTCAGATTGGACTGCCGCGCTCGGCGCCTGCAGGGGAACGCGCCGATGTCGGCCACATTGGGGGGGCCCCGGAGGGGCCCGAGCCCTCGCGCTCTCCCAGCCGGGAAAAGGCTTCGGGGCTGCGCGCAGGCGGCCCCCCCAGGTGCAGTCACGGCGGGCCTCAAGAGGCCCCCCGAGTGCAGTCCCAGCTGGCTTCAACAGGCCCCCCGGGCAGTGCAGGGCCGTCTCGACACCCTGGCGCCGCCTCCCCACCCAGACCCCCTCGAGCCATGGAAAAAATCGCGACGGGAGGTGTTTCGCTGCTTTCGGCCTCTGGGGGCCCTCACCGGCCCTCGCGGGACCGTCAAGAAACGATCCCAGAACGGGACGAGACGCCTGTCCCGGGGAATGGGTTAGGACCCCTGGGGGGTCGCGTCGTGAACAAGTCATGACGTCGGGGGTCTGGGAGTGGCGCCACGGGGGTGCGCCGCGCTCCCTGCTGGGGGTGTGGAGACCGCCACGGACCGCTCGGGGGTCCCGTGGAGGCCAGCTGGGGCTACTACCCGGGGGGCCCGTCGAGAAGGCCAGCTCGGCCTACCTGGGGGGGGGGGGGGCCTGCCAGCGCGCAGCCCGAAGCCTTCCCGTCCCCCGCTCTCGCTTCGGCGGGCAGCGTCGACGCCGAGAAGCCAGGCCCCTGGGCGACCTGCCCCGGGGTGCTGCGCCCCCCGAGAGAACAAAAAAAAGCGGGGGGGCGCCTCGTCCCCAGTCGTGCCTTCGAGCACGCCTGCGTCGTGAAAACATCACGACGGGAGGTTTTTCGCGATTTTCGGCCTCTGGGGGCCCTCACCGGGCCTCGGGACCGTCAAGAAACGATTCAGGATGAAAAAGCCGGTCCCGGGGAATGGGTTAGAACCCCTGGGGGGTCGCGTCATGAAAAAAATCATGACGTCGGGGTCTGGGCCAGGAGGGATAGGCTCAGGAAGGGATGAATCGGCTCCCAGTCGCCCATGCATCGCCGATGTATGAAGCCCGACAGCCCACCCCGCCCAGGAGCGTGCGGGTCTGCTGTCGGGCCCCCCCTGTCGCCGGCCTATCTGCGATGCATCGCCGAGTCCAGCTCGATGTTCCCCCCCCCCCCCCCTGAGTGGGTGTCTCACGCCCGAGCTGTCCGCGCGGTGTCGCACGCCGGCGGCCTCCCTCTCTCGTTTCCACGAGGCGCGCCTGTGCCGGGCGGCCCGTTTCCCGTGCTCTCGCGCAAGGTCGCCGTGCCCTCGTGCGCGGGGCCCTCTTTTTCTTCGCCGCTCATCTGCCGCGTTCCTGCAGGCGGGTTCGGTCTAGGAAGTCATGGGAGCCTGGCATGCCCTTTCAACTCCGTCTTCAGCGCCGACTAGGGTCGATTCGCGTCGGGAAGTGGATCCGATGGCGCCGATCTAGCGTCGGCCAGCGTCGATGAGCGCCGATTTAGCGTCGATGTAGCGTCGACTGGCGTCGACTGGCGTCGATAGGCAAGAGTCGACAAGATGCTACGGGAGACTCCCACGAGTTGCCACCGGGGGTGCGCGGAGCCCGGCGCAGGCGCCGGGCAAGCGCCCGCTCCCCGTGCCCCATCCTCTGGGGAGCCGTCGGGGGGCTCAGGCGCTGCACGGGCAGCAGAGCCGGACGGTTTGCTCCCGCCCCCCCCTCCTTGGCGCTGCGCCGGCATTCTGGTCGTCCTCTCCTCCCGCCTCCGTCGTCTCTTCTCCCTCCTCCCTCCGGACTGCCTGCCTCAAGCACGCCTTCCTGCTCCTTCCTCTCCCCACTCGAAGACGCAAAGCACGCGATCAACATAAAAACTGTTGGCGCTCCGCGCGGATTTCTTGGATCCGCGCTGGGCCCCCCTGGCGGCGCCTCCGGCGCCGCCCCTCAGGGAGGGGGGTCTAGCGCGGATCTCAGAAATCCGCGCGGAGCGCCACAAATTTACGTTTATGGCGTTTTTTCTTTTTCTATCCACTCGCATGGTCCCGCATCCCTCTCCCCTTTCCCCATGCCGTCCCTCATCCCTCATCCCTCCCCCTGCAATCCCTCGTCCCTTGTTCCGTCCCCTCCGCCCTCCGATCTCCTTGCTGCTTCGTGCTGTGTGGTGTGCAGCAGGGAGCAGCACCAGCCAGCAGCTAACAACCACCATCGGCTGCACCTATCGGTTTTACGGGCGCATGGCAATTCTAAGCCAGCGGGTGAGGATATTTTGGTGGCAGTTTTGAGCCAGCGGGTGAGGATATTTCGGTGTCAGTTTTGAGCCAGCGGGTGAGGATATTTCGGTGGCAGTTTTAAGCCAGTGGGTGAGGATATTCCAGTGGCAGCTGTAAGCCAGCGGGTGAGGATATTTCGGTGGCAGTTTTATTTCCGCGGGTGAGGATATTTCGGTGGCAGTTTTATTTCCGCGAGTGAGGATATTTCGGTGGCAGTTTTCAGCGAGCGGGTGAGGATATTTCGGTGGCGGTTTTAGGCCAGCGGGTGAGGATATTTCGGTGGCAGTTTTAAGCCAGCGGGTGAGGATATTTCGGTGGCAGTTTTTAGCCAGCGGGTGAGGATATTTCGGTGGCGGTTTTAGGCCAGCGGGTGAGGATATTTCGGTAGCAGTTTCACGCCAGCGGGTGAGGATATGTCGGTGGCAGTTCTTAGCCAGCGGGTGGGGATATTTCGGTGGCAATTCTAAGCCAGCGGGTGAGGATATTTCGGTGGCAGTTTTATTTCCGCGGGGGAGGATATTTCGGTGGCAGTTTTAACCCAGAGGGTGAGGATATTTCGGTGGCAGTTTTCCGCCAGCGGGTGAGGATATTTCCGGTGGCAGTTGTAAGCCAGCGGGTGAGGATGTTTCGGTGTTAGTTCTAAGCCAGCGGGTGAGGATATTTCGGTGGCAGTTCTAAGCCAGCGGGTGAGCATATTTCGGTGGCAGTTTTAAGCCCGCGGTGGAGGAGGAGGAGGAGGAGGAAGAGGAGGAGGAGGAGGAGGAGGGAGGAACCAAGAAGAGCTGTGCTCGGCGCGGGCATCCAGCCGCCACGCGATGCGTGATTCGCTTGGTTGGCCCAGCCGACGGCTACGCGTCCAGCGCGGTGCTGCGCCCGTATATATGTTCGCCCCTTGGCGTGGGGCTGGCGGGGGGCCAAGTGGCGAGCTGTCCGGTGATTCTATTGTTTCATGTGGACTCTGGTGCATCATGCCAGAGTTCAGTCGACTCCCACTCATTCCAATACATTCCTGGAATATCCTTAGGGCCGCAGCATGAGCAGCACAATGCCAATGTACCAGAGAGACGTGCTACGGGGCTTCACATGGACCGATGCAGACCTGTACCGGTTTCCTGTCCCCGTCGATCCCCACAGGTTTGTCCGCTGCGGGATTGCTGGAGGTCTCGAAGAACATCCGGCGGGATTTGAGTAGCTTCGTCACAAAGTCCATGCGCACGCTGTTCTCGGCGTCACCCCAACATACTAGTACTATAAGTGCGTCGCCCCAGGGGCGACGCACTTACCGAGAAGTCTCATAGTTCATGCGTCGTGGTGGGCGCTTTCTGGCCACACCGCTCTGGAAACGATCTACTACAAGATGGGTATGCCATATGTTCGGGTTGGACGCGCGCCTCCAGGGTGGACATATAGTACTACTAGTATGTCTTTGTGCGTCCCATGTCCCGCGGGCCCCTCACTGCCGAACGAACCACACCCCACCCACACCCACAGAGGGGGAACGGAGGACGCCATGGGTGCCTGCTGTCGCAGGGGGGCTCCCGCTCGCACGGGAGCCTCCCCCCCCCGCGGTCCGACAACCCGCACCCACAGCCACAGCCAGCCCTCCTCCCGTCGACCCTCCTGTGGTTAGGGGCGCGTGCTGTTCGTTCGTCTATGATCGGAGACTGAAACATATACATTACCAGTGGCGGGCTGCTTTTCAATCCCTGGACTTTTTGAGGGTCGGGGACGACGCTGGGGTGGTGTGGTGTATACTTGTTTCCCCGGTGTCCTGGGCAAACAAAAAATGTATACACCAGGGTCCCGTATACACCAGGATCCGCTCTCCAGTGCAGATTTCAATGCAGGGCCGGAGAAAGCGTCGGTGTATAGAGTTCGATCCCATATGTGACGGTTCCCATGGGAACCAGCAAGAAAACACACCAGCTCTTGGAGTCCCGATAGTCTGGTAGATCCCGATGGACTCCGACGCATCCCTGGCTGGCTGGGACCCAGGGCGCCCGCCGTCGCCTCCGCGGGGGCCTGCGGCTGGCGCTGCGGATGCCCGGCGCCGCCCCGCGCGGGAGTCACACCAGACTGTCGCGCAAGCTCCAGGAATGCGCAGGGGCTTCTGTGGGGAGCTCAGTCTCTCCTGCCCCCTCGTCATGCTCCTCCTCCTCCTCCTCCTCCTCCTCCTCCTCCTCTTCCTCCTCCTCCTCCTCCTCCTCCTCCTCCTCCTCCTCCTCCTCCGCTCCTCCTCCTCCTTTCCTCCTCCCTCCTCCTCCTCCTCTATTCCTCCTCCTCTCACCTCCTCCTCCTCCTCCTCCTCTCCTTCCTCCTCCTCCTCCTCCTCCTCCTCCTCCTCCTCCTCCTCCCTCCTACTCCTCCTCCCCTCCTCCTCCTCCTCCCCTCTCCTCTTCTCCTCCACTCCTCCTCATCTTCCTCCTCTTCCTCCTCCTCCTCCTCCTCCTCCCCTCTCTCCATCCACCTCCTTCCTCCGCCTCCTCCTCCTCTCTTCCTCCTCTTCCTCCTCCCCTCCTCTCCTCCTCTCTCCTCCTCCCTTCGTTCTTTCCATCCACCTCCCTTCCTCCTCCGCCTCCTCCTCTCCCTTCCCTCTCCTCACGCTCCTCCTCCTCCTTCTCCCCTCCTCCTCTCTCCTCCTCCTCCTCCTCCTCCTCCTCCTCCTCCTCCCTCCTCCTCCTCCTCCTCCTCCTCCTCCTCCTCCTCCTCCTCCTCCTCCCCCCTCTCTCTTTCCATCCACCTCCCTTCTCCTCCGCCTCCTTCTCCTCCTCCTCCTCCTCCTCCTCCTCTTCTTCCCCCTCCTCTTCCTCATCCTTCTTGCTCGTCACCCTTCTTTTCTTCCTCCTTCTCCTCCTCCCGCTCCTCCTCTTCATCATCCTTGCCCTTAGATTTTCCGTGAGGGTCCCAGCAGGGGATCCCAACCGGACGGGTGACAAAAGGTGGTGGTTTCTTCGCGAACCCTACTGAAAGTAAGGGTTTCTCTTTAGGTACATGGGGGCAGCGATGCGGCCTCTGCAGATGACTCCTGATGCTCCCAGAGGGCTCCCAGGAGGAGGAGGAGGAGGAGGAGGAGGAGGAGGAGGAGGAGGAATAGGAGGAGGAATAGGAGGAGGAATAGGAGGAGGAGGGAGGAGGAGGAGTAGGAGGATGGAGGAGGAGGAGGAAGTGGGAGCAGCAGTAGCGGAGGTAGAAGGGAGGAGGAGGAGGACCAGGAGGTAGGAGTAGGATGAGGAGGAGGAGGAGGTAGGAGGAGGAGGAGGATGTCAGGATGATTATGAATGAGGAGGAGAGGAGGAAGAGGAGGAGGAGGAGGAAGAGGAGGAGGAGGAGGAGGAGAAGGAGGAGGCAAGGCGGGCATGCTTCCCCCCCACACGCAGGGAAGGGTGCCTCTTCCTGCCGAGCAACGATGCCTGGAAGGCCTTCTACGAGTACGTAGAGCACCCGTACCCCCCCTTGTTCGCCGAACTGTTCGACAACGCCTACGACGCTAGTTGCAACGCGACGGGACAGCGGAGGATGAGGAGCGAGCGCCCTCCCCTGCAGAGTATTGCATGTTCTCCTCCACCTAGGCTCCTCACCCACCTTTTTTTCTGTAGTGGAGGCCTTCTCAGTGGCGTGGGCTCCTCAACCCCTCTTTTCTCCTTCCTCCCCTCCTCCTCCTCCTCCTCCTCTCCTCCGCCTCCGCCTCCTCTCCTCCTCTTCCTCCTCCTCCTCGTATAACATGTCTCCTCTCGTCTGCTCCTCCTCCTCCTCCTCCTCCTCCTCCTCCTCCTCCTCCTCGCCCTCGGAGGGCGTCGCGCCATTCCCAAGCCAGCCCCATGTTGGCATCGTTCACTTGGGAACAGAGCCGACCCCAACGGCCCCGACCTGCCCAGGCCGGAGGTCGTCGACTGCGCCACGGCCACAGGTGCCGCGGCGCACCGCCGCGCGCGGGCACAGAGGGCAGAGGCGCGCCGCATCGTCAGGGCCGCCCAGCCCACCCCCGAGGGCCAAGCGCTCGCCCGTCAAGCGCAGCAACAGCTCATCCAACACCACGGGCATCACCACTTCGTGAAGATGGGCGGCAAGACCGCCCAGAAGTGGACACAGTGCAAGCGCTGCCAGAACTGGGAGTGGAACAACAAGCCCCCCGCGCTGAACTTCCCGTGCAGGTGCGGTGCGCACTTTTCGAGGAAGGGCCTCAAAGACACGGACGGGAAGCACGTGGCGACAACGGGGCTAGCACAGGCGTTGGAGAGCGTCTCCTCCCACCTGGCCAGCATGCAGCTAGCCCCAGAGGTCACCTAGAAGCTGTCCCAGGTCATGACGGAGGTACCCCAGGCCACACAGTCAGCCGAACCCAAGAGCAGGGCGATCAGGCTGGCAGGGGCAGCCAAAACCTTGGAGGAGGCCGACAGCGCCTTCAGCAAGAAGGACGCTGCAACGACCACGCCCGCCGAGCTAGAGAAGGAGGTGCTGCAGAAGGCCCAGGCCGTCGTCCAGGCCGAGAAGGTGGTCACGAACGTCCAGACGGAGTGCACCACCAAGGCGAACTTGCTGCACGACATTCTGTCCATGCCTCCAGACGCGCTGGCAGCTGAGTCCCTCGCGGGCTTGGACAGCGCGCTGAACGTGAACGAGGAGGAATTGGACGAGCTGTCGGTGAATGAGGTCATCGCCGCGAAGGCCACCATGCTGAAGGAATTCAAGGACCGCACCGAGGGCTTCGTCTCCCAGCTCCGCATCCACGTGGAGCAGGCGAAGGCCAAGGCGGAGGCCGCGAAGACCGATGCCACACAGGCCGCCAAGAAGCGCAAGGCGAACAGCGGCGCCAAGGACGGGGCCGCGCAGACGCAGCCCGAGACGGCCACGACCGCAGCCGCAGCTCCGCCCGCCGCCGCCGCCGCAGCAGGCGCCGCCGCGGGCAACGGCGCCGCCGCAGCCTCGTCAGACGGGGCCGCCGCGGCCAACGCCGCGGCCAAAAGGCGAAGGCGGAGGCCGCGGCGCGGCAGGCAGCGGCGCAGAGGGCGGCGACGGAGAAGGTGCTCGAGCAGGCCAGAGTTCAGGCGGGGCAGACCTCGCCAGGGAGCACGTCCGCCTGACGGGCCAGGGGGCCTGGTCGAGCCGACGCCGCCGATGCCGCGTCACGGTCGACCAGACAGATCTTCATCGGCAACATCAATACTTGGGGGAATACTGCGAACAGATTCGTCAGGGAGTCGCTGCTCACAGACTCATATGACGCCTACCTGTTGCAGGAAACGCACGTCCGCTACGAGGGCCTAGAGGCCGCGGAGAGGGAGATGAGAGGCTGGGACCTCAAAGCTGCCTTCTCTGCCGCCAGACCCAGCGAGACCTCGAAGCAGGGCTCGAGGGGTGGAGTAGTTGCGGCGATGCGCAGTCGCCGCCAGTCGTCGTGCCACCGCGAGCTCGCGCTGCCGCGCACAGCCTCGCAGGCCACGGCGACCATGCACGTAGTAGATAGTTGTCGCACGATTAGTTTCAGCAACTGGATGCCCATCACTCGGCATCTCAAGGGAGTCAGCATCAACTTAGTGAGCTTGTATTTAGAGGGCACGAATTGCTTCACTGGTAATAATGCTGCCACGTTGTCGTCCATGGGGGCTTTCCTTCGATCTTGCAAGCTACCCTGGATCGTTGCTGGAGATATGAACGCGCCCCCAGAGCAGTTTTGGAAGTCAGGAGGGCCACAGAGACTGGGAGCACAGATCGTCACCATCCCATGCGGTTTCACGTGCTTCAAGGCTGGCGCCCAACCCTCGCTCATCGATTATGTGCTGATGAGTCAAGATGCGATCCCCTATTTTGAGAAACTCAGTACGGTCTCGGCCCCATGGAAGCCCCACGTTGGTCAGGTTTTAACCATTAAGGCGAGTGTAGTGCCAGCGCTGACACGCATTCTTGCCGTGTCCATTCCGCCCCAGCACCCTGCGCGCAAGGGGGCTAAGCCGAACCCCGACAGCAAGAGGCAGAGGCGCTTGAGGGACGAGGGTCCTTCGCCAGCAGTTGCAGCCGCAGCTGCGGCCGCCCTCTCACGCGCCTCGATCCTCGCCGACCGCGAACAAAAAGACCAGGATTTGGCTAACCAGCGTTGGGGAGCTCTGGGACCTAGGGGGTGGCCGCATTTCCCTGTTGACTCGAGTCTGGCCAACGGCAATTTGGCCTTGCAGTCCGCCTCTGAGGATGGGGTGT